TCTGCCCGTTTGTGTGTCTCCCCCCCCCGTTTCAAATTCGTTTATTATTATTTTTTAACCTCTAGCCGTTATCGTCACGGGAGAAGGACACACACAGCCTGCCCAGGTGGATGCGCGCGAACGCGACAACGAACGTAGCGTGCGCATTCTAAAAATAGCTCACAGGTGGTGAGCAGGTACCGCGGTTTTGAACTACAGTATTGAATTTGACAGAAAAAAACAAAGAAACACCAGCAGAAGAATAGTCTAATGAGTTGGGTGAAAAAAAAGACAGGAGATGTGAGTTGGTTTATTCAGTAAATTAGCTCAGGATAATTGGATGTTCTGTCTACACCTGATGATGTGAGGCTAATGCAAGATTTGCTAGCTTGATGCTACCGGCATTTAGCGGCAGTGACTCTTAAAATTGTCAGCAATGTATGACAAGCAGACTGCTTGTCTAATGTTAGACTCACACCAATAGCTCAATATGATCATAACACGATTGCTTTCATATCAGAGATCAGATGAGGTGGAGCTGCCTCCAGCAATAGAGGATGAGGCAGAGAGAAGCAGCAGCANCTGGCAACTTCTAATTATGGGAAATACGAAAACGTCTTTTAAAACTACAATTCCCAGTAGAGACGTGCCATAGAACAATAGAGAGCCGCAGTGACGCGTCCTTAAACCCGGAAGTAAACTTCTTCCGGTTCCTTCGTCTAAAACGCAATGCAATTTCTCCATAGGATTTTGGAAAATAGCTNCACCTGACTACAGCATATAACATACCTGCTGCAACCCTGTGCTGCTGCTGCTTCTCTCTGCCTCATCCTCTATTGCTGGAGGCAGCTCCACCTCATCTGTCAGATGAGGTGGAGCTGCCTCCAGCAATAGAGGATGAGGCAGAGAGAAGCAGCAGCAGCACAGGGTTGCAGCAGGTATGTTATATGCTGTAGTCAGGTGATTTAAATGTATCAATGAAAGGAAGAAGTGTAGGCAACATGATAAGAAGGAAACACAGTTTGCATTAAAGTAATACAGTACAGTGTTAACTTTATTATTTTTTAATGTATACATACTCTGTTACTGTACGATATCAATAACAATAATCCACAGCTCCTCTAACTGTTACAGAGGATAAAAAAAGTTAAAAAGAAAATGTCGGGG